AAAAGGAGAAAATCATCGAGAACACCCTAGCTAAGGACCCCTGGAGCCTCGCTCTACGACTGCTGACCTGCTCGTTCTCAGCAAAGGGCTATGGTTCCCACACTAATCGTTACTTCGTGTCATCCAATGCTAATACCATCTAAGAATGAAAAAAAGAAAAAACAAGGTATGGGAACTGAACTCGCGACAGAAAATGGCTCATGCCATCGTACTCATTACTCTCTGTGAAAGCACCGCGAAAGTGAAAGAATCATAGAGTCAGCGAACCAGACTACTTGAGCGAAAGAAGGACGCCTACGAATTGCTTGAGCCTAGAAACTGCCTTCAAGGATAATTCCACAGTACACGGACGAAAACATTATAAAATTGATTTTGAGTACCTTCACTTTTTAGGTATTGCCTAAATCCTATGGTGCTAGGTGTTATTACAGCGACATGTCGTAGTCCGCTGGAAGTCTGGAAGCATGACGACGAGTCTTCACCAGGAGCTGGAAAACAATAACATGTTCATTCATTGCGAAAACAAGAAGAAGCTAGAAATGCTAGAAATTGATTTGGGATCGGTCGCACTACAATGACCGAGAGCTTTCTATAGCTCCCTTTCCTTCCTTTAGCCAAGGTATATGTTGGGCTGAGTAGTGCAGCTTTAAGCAGCACAAAACGGTGATATCGTTTCTCCAAGGCTCTCGAGCATCATATTACGGTACCATTCGCCGCTTTCGCTGAACTTTAGCTGATGAGACTATCGATATGAGGGGACAAACTCGGGGCACTATCCATTCCAGTGATTCAGCAAAACAGGTTTCAAACTAGTTGGAGGATTCGAATACGCCCAAAAAAAGAAATGTTGCTGCTGTGCCCAGCAACTTTTCGACTTGTCGCGTGCGTCACCATGGCTTTCCAATGAATGCTTCTCGAAAGGATAAGAATAAAATCTTTGCCGCTGGTCAATCCCATTATTGGCACACACGCATTCCACTTCTATTCAGAACGTAACGGCTTATTGAATGTACAACGAGCTTGCGGGCCAACCGATATAAAAGCAGGTGCACTTATCCTCCCAGACACAACCTGGTGAAAATTCACCGTTCCCGGAAGATGGAAGGCATGGTTGGCCACGGCAGGAGCCGCACAGGGATTCGCCCTCCGAACTGTCCGCGTGGTAAGTGCCCCACTTGCTATACACTACCTCCGCACCAGACGGTCCTTATACTCCAGAGAAATCGGGTAGTACTTTCTAATGTAATACTGTTTGCATTGATGCGATCACTACTCGCGGTTTGATTGCCCTTGATCTGATGCACTGTCATTGGGGTGCTATGGGAACGACTACCCGATTCATTGTTTTCTTACTACTGTAAAAAATTTTGTCAAGTTCAACGGGGATACTTCAGACATCTGCAATCATTAGTAAGTTAAAGACGACCTTTACAGCTGAGCACTCCAAAACCACCTCCGATTGATTACATGTGTTATGACTGTTAGATTGAATTCGATGGAAAATTACCTGCATCATCAGCACTTATTTTCGTGAATAAAACGGTAAATGATGAACAGGACATGTAAAAACTTCTGCGATCTCCTTTCTTCCATGATAAGAAAAGCTGGTCGAAACATTCCGTCCTGAAGGTAGATGAAGATTAGACGGCAGATACTTGAAAGGAACAACCAAAGTAATCTACCACTGAATATCGAGCGCTTCCAAGCACGAGGGCGACATGTTTGACATTGATTCGGTCGTACTCGCAAATGTATTAACCAAAGAATCAATTCGAGGATAAGCAGCCAGCCAAGGGAGACATGGAAATTGCCAGTAGAGACATGCGGCTTCTAGCAAACCCATGGGAGACACGTCTGAAGGAATATCCGACAATGACCGTGAATGGAACTGCAAGGAGCTGCATCAGTATCAATATAAAATGGGGATTTGTTACAAACTCACATCTGTTCCAACAAGTCTAAGGAACGCTTGCAATCCCTCGTGCCTCTGCTGACCGGTAACGCGGACCGGGACAATCCCTAAGAGTGACTAGAGTTCAAATGAGCAAATGTCGCTAGAATGGAGTCAGACTCTCGAGAGGCACAAAGGAACTGACCCGAATTTGTGACATCACGCATCCATAAATACGGCCTTTTAGCTACGATTCTCAGCTTAGTTCCCAGTCTGAGATCAGAAGGAATATCCTCAGATGAACACATGTCAACTTCAACTTTTGAAGAAGAGCTGTCACCGCAAAATATGTCAGAAAAGTCGGTAGCGAACGATTCCTTCAAAGGCTAATTTTGAGTAATTCTATTGGAGATACATCACAAAAAGAAGGCTAGTTATTAAGAGAACTCACTGAATCTGCCGCGAAAGATCGAGAAAGAGAACGCTTCATTTGATTGTTCTGAGAAAGAACCCTGAAAATGAGATAAATATGGCTAAATAAGTTAGCTGAATGGTACAAATGACTCACCGTTCATTAGAAAACGGATCGTTGGCATTTGAATCGTCCCAACTAATAGATGCATCAAACGAGACCCGTTCTTCTCGTTGCTCTTCTTTCCGACGTTTTTTCATTGGAGACGAACGCTTAAGTAATATGTGCGTGCACAATAGGAATGAGGAAAAAGGTGTTCCAAAACGCTGAAATGGCCTTCTCAGGGTATTGGTGAAGAGTTATGAGCGATCTGTTAGTTGACTATCAGGCCAAGCGCTGCCTGGGTCAGGGGGAAGGGGGGAGGGGCATTTTGCTCGTTCCCATCAACGTGGATGGTTGTAAAGTACTGTGAAGTTAATACATCCACGCAATCCGTTATGCAACCAAGGCCGCTCCGAGATTCACAGCTCAATCGCACAAAAGCAGTCAAGTTGAGAGGCTAAGAATGACCCGCTTGCGTAACGGGTGGCAGACTCTCCTGGTAAGCGTGAAGTGCGTTGAAGTCCCACCAGGGTCAAGACTTTGCTCATAACTCCGCATTCTTGTAGTAACTTTCGGAACGCTAACTGCAGCGCTCAACAGCGTTATGTAGGTTACTTTCACGAGCCGTCAGCGTTGCGCTCCCCAAACGAATTGACAAAGGACGAATTGAATTCGCCCATGGGATACAATGCCACTTCTCATCATTCAAGGGTGTGAGATGTAAAGTTTAGCTTTAGAAGCATAAGTGGGGGTCCGAGTATCGTCCGGGATTGGACGTTTTGCCCGTATATCAACGAGTGTTAATAACGCTCAGGTGATAAGGGGATGAGTAGCAAAGCCAGTGAATAGCAAGCACAGAACAGTTAGTAAATAAATAAATGCCTTGACCATACCTTAAACGGATTACTCCTTGTATGGGTTTGTGACACAGGGCAGTGTTCACTTTTACTGCTTTCCTTAACGGCACCATCGAAGGAAGTAGCCAAAGTTCGAGAGCTAAAAACGATACTAACGAAGTTCCTATCACATCGTGATGCCAATAGTTGATTTTGACTTGGAATTACTGAGTCTACTCTCTCTTCACAACAAAATTTATGTTAACAGACCTGTTTCCTCTCTTCAGATGTTTTCGCAGTCTTTCACGGGGATTCTTCCAAGCCGGCGATATACCTGCTGTACTTGCCTCCATAGTGTTAAAATCACTATACTATAGGGTCAGAGCCGATAGGTTACGAACAGCTTCTGAAAGTCTAAAGATTGACGGTAAGCCCAGGTAAAAAAAGTCTCGATCGGTGGTAAGCACAGTCGTAGGTATCACAACATAGTGGTCAGAACCATTCAAAATTTCTCACGAAATACATGCTTCCATCAAAACATTTCAAAAAAGGAGATAAAAACATTTATTAACGGGAGCGCATTTCAAAAGGGTAATGTTCCCGCCGTCACATTGGAGCAGCAATGTTGATATGGGGCGCCTTTTGTTCCATTGTAGCATAAGCAGTTTGCAGGAGGATGAATTGCCTTTGAAATGTAATTGTAGAATTCCATGTAATCGGTTTTCTTGGGAGCATGTCTTCTACAAAATTTGGTAAGGTGCTTCGTGGATCAAAGTGCATCAATCTCAGCGAAAGCTTTTCTGCTCCTTCGGTTGGTAACTCATACTCAAGAATATCCCTTTTGCCCACAGCTTGATGTGCGCAGACTTTTCTTTCATAATACATGTCCATTGTTCAAAAGGTATAGTGTTGGACGAAACCAGGGTTTTCAGCAGCAGCTTACCAATAAAATGGCATTGCATGCTTAAAAGTAGGGAGTTTCCCAAGGGTACGGGAACAGTTAGAAAAGAAAGTCATGAGACAGCTATTAGGTTGCCCGGAAAGTTCTCAGCGTCTTGTGTTACTATTTTTTTGTACATTCATTGCTGATTAGAAAGCTCATTCTCCCTTGCGTCTCAGTAGTACATCCTGAAGAGAATTTTTTGCGCTATCTGATGTATAATTGCCTCGTCTTCCAGCGCATTGCTTGATTCAACCTTCCAGGGTAGCAGCATCGTTTACCAGAGCCGAGCAATGGTTCGACATTTCAGTTGATAGTGGGAGTGGAGCTATGGAAGTCAAGATGTTTAAAAAATGAAGTTTATGAGTGTATTCTTTACAGCTTTAAATGCTACGTTTAACAGCCCTCTTTTCATGGGAAATCCCCAAGAATGGGTTCGTACTTGGCCGCGGGACGTGGGGAGTATCGCAAAAGTAGGCTCGCTAGGCATCAAACAGTACAAAGGTGTCATTGCTAAGGGTAATGGAACGGACGGAAAGCTTCAGAAGACCCGGATGTAAATAGGAATACAAAATAATAAAAGATTCATTAGCAATATAGCAAGAATAAATAAATAAATAAATAAGTGTCAGTTTATAGCATTAGCATCGTAAGTCCTATTATTAGATGACTAATAAGTACGTCTCAACAAACTTCGTGCGTATTTTCTTCCCAAACCTAACACAATACATCTGCTTGCATGATAGAAGCACCTATAGATAGCAGAAATCTAGAATTTACACCTTTCCACCACCTCTGCGTAGGAGCCTAATGCACGGCGCACGGACCAAATCGATCAGAGATAGCCGAGCTTCTCTTTCACTCATTTGAAGGGAAATATGTGTTTTGGAGGCAAACTGAAGTTTTCGAAGGTGTATCTTCACAATGGCACATAAGGAGTCAATTTTTCGGGTGGTCCAGGGGTGTGCAAGGCTTAAACATCTAAAATATCTCTCTGAACTAGTGTCCTTCAGAAAAACTTGTAATTATCTTATTGAAAGAGAACAAGATGGAGGGTTCAAGACGACTTTCATCCTATTGTAAATTGCGTTTGAACGAAGGAGTCCTTGTGTGAATCATGAAAACCAGCTCGCGATTTACCCCTGGCCTAACCGTGACCCATCCGGAATATTTCACCAACGGGGGATTGTTCAGTTTGCAGCTAGGTAGAATACACAATAGTAGAAACTTTGCCGTTGCATGCTGCTCACCATTCCTCAAAAGCTCCGCCTACGTAAAAAAAAGATACTAACCCCCCTCCGCCGAAAGAACCCCAGTGACGCTTGGCAAGTCAAACAACCGCGCTCTCATGGTTTTTTCCAAAGAAACGGGTCCTTGTAGGTCAGCCGCGGTGAATCGATAATAGCCAAGTATGGAACGATTTACTGCCGGCCTGGTTATCCTTTTTTCATTTAGCTCTGCATTTTTTGTATTTTCCATGTTTCGCTTTGTTGTGTCGTGCATGTTTTCATTATTTCCCCGTCACCATTCATTGAATGCATCCTGACACGCTCACCTTGGGGCTATTTTTTCACCAATTCAGCCTATCAATGATCACCATTAGCCGCTATTTCAATTGTTTCTTTTACAAGTTGCATGTCATACATAGTTATCGAACGAGGAGTTTTATTTTGAATCCTACAAAACAATTGTAGTAATGCGAGGCTGTTGTTCAGCCTCATATTGCATGAGGCTGAAACAGCCTTTTATTTCCTGTATTTTAGAGCAGAGTGCGCCTTTCGAGAATCCAGATTCCATTTCAGGAAGTCATTTGTGGTGAACATGCATCTGGTTGTCAGTTAGAGCAGGAGGGGGGGTCGTATCTGGACCCTCTTCGAGGGGGGGGTCGTACCCACACCGCTATTTGACACATCCCGATGCTTGTATGCCTGAAACTTCCATTTTCCCAACCAGGGTAGTTCGTTGATTGTAAATCCCCGAACAGGGGGGGCGGGTCGTAATGAGTGCGGTAGCCAATAGGACGCATAAAGTGCGCAGTGTGCTGAGTACTGTACAGCGAAACTTGCTTTGTGGAGAATTCGGATTAAAAAATAGTACAAAACTTCCATTCATCAAACTAATCCGAAATAACTGAAATATTAATAGTCGACATCATCTTCAGTCCATTCCAAACTTTAAACAAACATATGCTTGCATGGATAAAAGCACCTGAAATCAGAATTTACACTTTCCACCTCTGCGTAGGAGCGTAAACCCCGGCGCACAACTCGGAACAAATCGATCAGCTGATAGCCGAGTCCATCTTGCACTCGTATTTGAAAAGAAATATGTGTTTTTGAGGTACACTGAAGTTTTCCGAGGGAGTAATCCACAATGCGGCAGAATGATCCGATTTTCGGGTGGGTCAGAGGGTAGCGCGTCTGTGACCCATCTAAAATATCTCCTGAACTAGCGGGTCTTCAGGAAAACTGTAAAGCTTATTGGAAAGAGAAAAGATAGGGCGGTTTCAAGACGATTTTAATCCTGATGAAATTGCGTTCGAAATAAGTAATCCTCGTGTGAAGCATAAAAACCGCTTGCCCCTAGCCGATACAAAACCCATCCGAAATATTTCACGAACGGGGAAACATTCAGATTGTGTTCAGATTCAGAAAACGCAACAGATTTCTGTTGCATGCTGCTAACCATTCATCAAAAGCCGCGCCCCTCAAAGAGATATAACCCCCCGAAAAGACCCCAGGACGTTGGCAGGCCCAACAACCGCGCTCCAATGACGTTTTTCCAATGAAAGCGGTCGCAACGTTGCGATCGATAATAGCCAAGTATAGAACGATATACTGCCGCCTGGTTATCCATTTTTTTCATTTGGCTCCGCATTTTTTGTATTTTTCATGTTTCGCTTTGTTGTGTCGTGCATGTTTTCATGATTTCCCCGTCACCATTCATTGAATGCACATCTGGGGCCTGACACGCTGACCTTGGGGCTATTTTTTTCACCAATTTAGCTTATCAATGATCACCATTAGTCGCTGTTTCGATTGTGTTCCTTGTTACAAGTTGCATGTCATACATGGTTGTCGAACGACGAGTTTTATTTTGAATCCTAAGACAAAATTGTAGGTAATGCGAGGCTGTTGTTCAGCCTCATATTGCATGAGGCTGAAACAGCAGAGTCCGCCTTTCGAAAATCCAGATTCCATTTCAGGAAGCCATTTGTGTGAACATGCATCTGGTTGTCAGTTAGAGCAGGAGGGGGGGGGGGTCGTACTCACACCGCCATTTCGCACATCCCCATGATGTACCCTGATGGTGAACAGGTTTTCGTCGGAGAAGACGATGTCTCGATAGCCGCAGGTGTAAAACGTTCAGGGACCAACTTGCAGTGCTGGTTTCGTACCCGAGGAGACAATTTGATTATCTAAGCATCACAGCACATCGTACGTTGGGGATTCTCAGCGAGGGGGGGGTGGGCATATTTTCTCGCTGGAGAGATTGAGAGTCGTATTTGCTCTTGAGAAAAATGATTCCGGTAGTTAGCTTTTGGTGTTTTTTTCTGTTACAATTACTCTATACATATATACCTCTCCCTATGCAGTATTTTTTTCGAGGGAAAGCTCCGGAAAGGTGGTAGGGAGTCTGGGAAAACCTAGGAACTGGCGGGAATGGTAGGTAGGATGAGGGACACGGCACATCATCGCTGGGTATTCCCCAACAGGAAGGTCGTATTTGGTAGCCGGG